CTATCTATCTATCTATCTATCTATCTATCTATCTATCTATCTATCTATCTATCTATCTATCTATCTTGCAAGTCTGAAAGTACTCCTCCTGTCCCTCACTTTTACTCTCTCAAAAACTAAGGAGGGTCCCTTCTGAGACGCTTTCTCCACTCCCACCCCTCCTTCAGACTCAAGATTTCATTTCTCCGACTGTTGCCTCAGCTGCGGCTCTTCCTCCTGTCTCCCAGGGTTATTCCCACGTACCATTACATGGGGGCAGAGGGTGTGCAGAGAATGGGTCAAACAAGTCAAGACGGTGGCCACAGCCATGTTCTGACCCTTGTAAAAAAGGGCAGGGCTTTGCTTGCATGGCTGTGGCCACCATCTTGACTTTTTTGACCCAATCATGGACACCCCCCCCAGTGGGCATTTCAGGCCCACCCTCTATCACCCTGCAGGGTTCGGTGGGGAAGGCAGAAATCACAGCATCTCGGGTGGATCCAAAGCATAGCTCATCCTTGTGGCTTCTTCTGGCAGGGAGTCTTTTGATGTTCAGTGGAAGGAAGTGCAGCCCTGCAGAAACATCACTGGCACCCTCTGCAACATCACTTGTGTGTTGCAAGAACCCAGCAACAGATACTGGGTCAGGGTGGAAGCTCAAAGTGGAACCCGGGCTGGATTCATCTCATCGGCAACTGAAACCGTAGATTACATCCTTCACGGTACGATGATCCTGTGGACGTAGCTCTCTCCCTACACGCCCCCCATCATCCTCCCAGGAAGCATGGAAGTGCAGAATGTGGTTGATCCATGCTAGCAATTTCTGAAAAGGAAAATGCTGCTTTCTTGCAGGTTTGCACAGGCAAGGGGAAAGAGCACTTAGCATAACTCTGATTAAGTTAGTTACTGAAGGGGCTCATTTTCTGGGTTTTGAAACACATGGCTTGGCTTCACATAATGCGATAAGCCACAAAAATGAGAGGAGGTTTAAATGAATCAGGTTTACCGTGGTGTGGGGATGGACCGCTGGGTTTATAACAGAACCACTTAAGGGGCTTCTGGGGATACAGCCTAAATGCTCAGATAGCCACGAAGAGTAAATGAAAATGGGTGAAGGATTTAGAGAGCTGTGGCTTAATGTGGAAGATGGAAAATCCAGTGGGATCCTTTGAAGCATCCAAGGGATACAGAAAGAAGAATATGGCCATGAGCCAAGGGTGCAAGATTCCTGGGTGGGAAAGGTGTTTTCAGATTATGGGAAATTGTCTCTCCATTTCTTGCTGTGGCTGCCCAAATTTAGCAGTGTAATTTTCAAGGGTCCAAAAGGGGGGTTGGGGTTACAAGTGTGGGGGTCACGTAGGTTGGCCACTGCTGCTTTACTTCACAACAATATTCCATTTTTATGCTCAGCCCATCCTAGCACAGTGTTGTCCAAACTTGGCCACTTTAAGATGAGTGGACTTCAAGATGAGTGGCTGGCTGGGGAATTCTGGGAGTTGAAGTTCACTCATCTTAAAGTGGCCAAGTTTGGACAACACTGTCCTAGCATGAATATAGAAAGGTTTTCTTAGTTCACCAGAGGAAGAGCCAGGCAACTGCTCAACCATTTTAAGTTACACCTATCACAGCTTCATTGCTGTAGGGCAGCTTCCCCAACCTGGTGTCCTTCCACGTGTGTTAGACTACAGCTTCCATAATTCCCAGTTGTTTTGGCCAATGAGGCCATCAAACTGGAAAAAGTCTAGCCAAGAGCTGATGGTGAACAAAGTGAACAAAGTCCAGTGAGATAGAAGAGAGAGGACTGTGAGAAAGGTGCCATCCCACAGTTCTGGGGTCCAAACTGAAGCGCAGAGGTCAGACAGTTCATTGCAGTCTTCAGCCAGGACAAGAAGTGGGTCCCTAAGTGATCTGTAAGCACCTGTAAACCAATCTAGCTTAAGGAACCAAGAAATAACATTAAAGACCAAATTAAAATACATCTATAAGACAGCCTGACTGGGACTTATGAGAGAAATCCAAAAGAAGCCATCTATGTCTAGGCTATAAATAATATAGTATCTAAATTTACATAAAGTTTGATAATATCTAAAATTACTTAAGATACATCTGTGTGGCAGGAACTTGGCCAGTCCAGGTCTGGCGGATCTTCCGTGCTGCTGCACAAAACCTAGCTAGCTGTGCTGTGATAAATGGCAGCTTATCCATAAGAGCGTCTGGGCATAGGCCAAGTCTGGGTGATCAGGACATCTGCTGGAGGATAATCTAGAGGTCCGTCTTTGGAGAGAGCTAGTGCTCTTCAAAGGACTGAGAAAGTTGAACTAGAGGGAGGAAAGCCATGTGTATTAGGATACAGATAGCCCTCACTTAATGATGGTCATTGGGACCAGCAACTAAGTTGCAGTTGCAAAGCGTGACATCACGTGACTACACTGACTTATGACGGCAGTTGCAGCAGTTCTGGTTGTCGTTAAGCAAATCCTGCGCAGTTGTTAAGCGTGGTGTCATATGATTGCCATTTATGACCTCCTGCCGGTTTCCCCGTTGACTTTGTCAGAAGCCAGCAGTGAAGGTCACAAATGGCAATTGTGACTGTGGGACGCTGTGGCAGCCGCAACTTTGAGGACTGGCCATAAGTTTCCTCATTCAGCCCCATCGTAACTTCGAATGGTCACTGAACAAATGGACGTTAAGCAAGGACTACCTGTATACAAGCAGGGAAACGAGGCAGCAAGTCCATAGTGGGCTTTGAAGGGGAGCTTTTGCTAGACCTGGTAGCCAGTTGAAAGTCGTTTGATGGAAATGTGTCCAGTCCTTATTTCAGATGCAGCTCAAGAAAGAAATGAGAAGAGGGAGGTGTGATCACAAAAGAACTCCAAAGAGGAGGTTGCAAAAGTCAGTGCAAAAGTTGACCCGGTCATCAGCCTGGTGAAAGGAAAGAGAAGGAGCCAGTACAACAGGATAGATGGTAAAGGGCAGCCTTTCAACCTTATAGCAATTGTAGACCCAAAATTCCTGGTGGTAGGAATTCTGGGAGTTGTATTTCTACCTCATCTGGAAGGCAGCAGGCTAGAGAAGGTTAGTCTAAGGAAAATCTCGAGTTCTGCATTTAGATTATCCCAGGAAAGTCACCTGTTCTTTCCAGACATGAGTGCAACCCTCTTGCTTTGATAACTTGCCCTAACCACCTGCCTTATTTTTTTCCAGTGGAACTCGCTCCTCCAGTTCTCAGAGTAAAATATACCAGAAATATCTTTGGTGTGAACATTTCTTTCACCTATCCATTTTGTATGAAGCACATCTTTCAGGATCTGACATATGATTTGGAGATTTGGAAAGCTGGATCCAAGGCACGGGTGAGCCAGAGAATTTCTCCTCTTTCTTGGGTTTGTTTGGAAAATATTTATTACATTTGTATCCTGTCCTTCTTCCAAAGATCTTCAGTTGGAGATCTTCCTAAGACCCTTTTCACCATGACCCATGAAATAAAACACTGGATCATCTGCACATTCTTTGACTATATTTGCTATCTAACAATGAGGGTTTATTTTATTGTGAAGAGCTGTGTCTCCTTGCTCCTTTGATGGAACTTTCAAGAGGACTAAAAAATAAAGTGTCTTAATAAAGCAACAGTTAAATAAAATAAAATAAAAGGACAAGGACAGACCAGGGGTCGGTAGCCTGAAAGATAAATCTGTTGCCACACTAGGAGCCTAAGGGGTCAAAGCAGATTTTGGTAAATAGCAGTGTCTCACTCTTAAGGCACCAGCACTGGGGAGACCCTCTGTCCATTGCAGTCCATCTCCATTTGAAAAGCCACCTAGATGCCTTGTTCCTTGGACAGCAGTGTTAGGAAGGGCCACTCTGCCCAGGACCTCCTGGTTATCTGAGACAGAGTCTAGAGATTTCATTGACCAAAGTCAGACAAATTCACGAGCTTCCAGGGTTGAGAGAGCACTGGCTAAGAAGATAAGATATGTGGTCCAGAGACATATTTAAGATGGATGTTCTTGAAACATTCCCTTTGCCTCCCTTAATTCATCTAATGAAAATTCCTCTTAACTCAGCCTTCCCAAATATGATGCTGTCTAAGTATGTTAGGTTGGCACCTCCCAGAATTCCTAGGTTTTCCTGCTGGCTAGGAATTCTGGGAGTTATAGTTCTTGAACTTACGAAATCTTCATAACCTGTAGTTATTAAACTTTCATGCCTGGAGAACATGAAAAGAGCCTTGCTAGATCAGTCCAGCCTTCTGCATCCTTCAGGAGCCAACCAGATACATCTGAGAAACTCACAGGGAGGGCAGGAAAGGGATAGTCATCTTCCACCATTGCTCCCCAGCCATTGATGTCTAAAGTCTGCTGCCTTAATTCAGGAGTTAGGCAGATAGCCAGCAAGACTAGTCGCCCTTGATAGCCCAATGCTCCAGGAATATCTCCTTGTCAAGCCATTTGGAGACCATTCCACATATCAAGTGGCAATAATCCATAGTCCATCCACGTTCATCCCTCCTCCATTAAGTTGATGTGTGACTTGTTCTTAAAAATGTGGAAGAAGAAACTCAGGAAAGGAAAGTTGGACCCTTAGGGATGAGTGTCAGGTCTACTGTTCTCTGTCTATCTGCTGTGCTCCTTTGCCAGTATTCCTGTTGGGTTCAAGCCTGGGCTTGCTTATCTTTCAGATGAAATATGAGAACATGCACGAGCCTTCAGTGGACATCAGCACAACAAAGTGGCCCCATGGCAAATACTGCCTCCATGCCCGAACATCCTTCTTTAGAAATGGGGACAGGAAACGGAGCAATTTCTTGGCGCCCTTTTGCCTGTGGTTGCATGAAGAAGGTACAGGAGGAGTCAAAGATCTAGAGCTTAACTTCCCCAGTGACCTTGATTCAACACAGAAGATCCTTGCGTAGGATTGCAAACTTCCAGTTGTGTGCACCCATAGTCAATGCAATCCCATTAAAATATTGGGATTGGTCTTTTGATGTAGACAAGAAACAGATCAAAGAATCACAGAGGTCCGTGATGACTCTTCCTTCATTTCAAGACAGAGTCGCAGAGGTTCCCGCTTTTCCTTGCTTTTCACCAGCAGCTCCAGAGCACTAACTGCTATTTGGGTGCATTTCACAGCTTAGTCTCTCACTTCCCTTGCTTTGGGGGCAGAGCTCCTTTTCTTCTCCTTACCTATACAGGGAGTCCCTGAGCTAAGAACGTCCAGTTTACAGATGACCCATAGTTAAGAATGGAGCCAGTTGTAGCACCATCTGAGTTAAATACACAATGATTTGAGTTAAATACACAATGGTTCGAGTTCATTACACAA